TGACAGGCCACAAGAGGATCGACACCAAGTAAATTTATCAGCATTGATCGCCTTCGTCATGAAATTTGCTATATTTTCTTTGGTATGGATCTTCTGCATATCTACCGTCCCTTCTTACACATTTTCACGAATGAAATGGTACTGAACTCGTATGTATTTTTTCCTTGAATGAAATGTTGGATTCCTTTCTAAATGCAATGCGCTTTGACTGTCACAAAACAAAGAGACATACTTTTGATTGTGCCCAAGCTCCTCCAATAGCATCTTCAACCAAATTGCTTCTTTACTGGCTTGTGTAGCTGCTACATATTCTGCCTCTGTTGTGGATGTAGCCACAACTGACTATAATTTTGAAACTCATCTTACAGCTCCACCAGTAATTTTAAACACATATCCTGTAGTATATTTATTTTTATCCAAATCCCCTGCATAGTCAGAATCAACATACCCATTGATAAGTAAGTTTGATCCTCCGTAACATAATGCAACATTTAAGGTCTCTTTGATGTATCTCAGGATCCTATTTACTGTATTCCAATGCTCTTTGCCTGGATTCTCCATGTACCGACTAACCACTCACACTGCTTGTGCAATGTCTGGTCTTGTGCATATCATAGCAAACATTAAACTTCCCACTGCTGATGCATATGGTACTCGAGACATCTCCATCTTCTCTTCTTCACTGTTAGGACTCATACTGGAGGATATTTTGAAGTTAATAGGAAGAGAGGTAGAAATTGACTTACAATCTTGCATGCTGAATTGTGACAAGATCTTCTTCAAGCAATTCTTTTATGAAAGCCAAATCTTCCTATTACTTCTATCTCGGTGAATTTGCATCCCTAGAATCTTATTTGCTGATCCCAAGTCCTTCATTTCAAATTCCCTAAATAGTTATTTCTTCAATTCTTCAATATGATATTTGTTGGGTCCTGCAACCAACATGTCATCCACATACAACAACAATATAACAAAATCGTTATCACCAGGCCTCTTGAAATAGGCACAAGAGTCTGCATTAAGTATGTTGTATCCAAGGCACATAATGAAGGAATCAAATCTTTTATACCAACACATCGGTATATACTTTAGACTGTATAGAGATTTGTTCAACCTGCAAACCAAGTTCTTCTTTTCGTCTTCTTCAAAACCTTCAGGCTAGAGCATATAAATCTATTCTTCAAGATTTCCATGAAAAAAAGTTGTTTTAACATCTAGTTGCTCTAGATGTAAGTTCAATGTAACACATTGCCAAGACTACTCGAACCGTTGTTAGTCGAACCACATGAGAAAATATTTCATTGAAATCAATACCTTCTTTTTTAGCATATCCTTTTACCACCAGTCTTGCACGATACCTCTCCACTTGATCATCACCATTTCGCTTGATTTTGAAGACCCATTTGTTACCAATTAGCTTCCTTCCTTGTGGTAGTGGCACAAGGTCCCATGTATTAATTTTATAAAGGGCTTCAATTTCTTCTTGCATCGCCATCATCCACAGTGAAGCATCTGAGTTGTTTATTGCCTCCTGGTATGTTGATGGCTCACCGTCATTTGTTAAAATGCAGTATGCAATATTACCTTCTATAACATAATCTGAGTGCCAATTAGGATATTTTCTTACATGATCTGATTGACGAGTTATTGGAGCAGCTTTAGAACTCTCTAGTTCTTGTTCATCATGTGCTAGTTCTGCTTTAGAAGAATCTCCTTGTTCAAACTTCTTTTCCACATGTATCTGAGTAGTCTCTAACTTTTCAACGCTATCATCGTCTTCTTTTCTTTGTAGTTTATCTTCTACAAAGATAACATCCCTGCTAATGATCACTTTGCGGGCAGTGGGATCCCACAAGCGAAACCCCTTTACACCATCAACATACCCCAAAAATTTGCATTTCTTAGATTTTGGATCTAACTTTGAAATTTCTTGGGAGTTGTACATCACGTACACTATACTTTCAAATACATGGAGGTTTGAATAATCAGCTAGTTTACCAGTCCACATCTCTATTGGTGTCTTCAGCTCTATTGCAGTTGATGGAGCTCGATTCACCAAATAGCATGCGGTATTGACTGTTTCTGCCCAGAATGATTTTTCTAGGCCTGCATTCCTCAATATTGCTCTTGTTATTTCTAACAAGGTTATGTTCATCCGCTCTGCCACTCCATTTTGTTGATGAGTGTTCGCCACTGTGAACTGTCTTTTGATGCATTCTTTCCTGCAAAAGTCATCAAATTCTTCGCTTGTGTATTCTCCTCCATTATCTATTCTGAAACACTTGATCTTATTTCCAGAATCAAGTTCCACCCGCGCTTTGAAGTTTTTGAAAGTTGAAAACACGTCTGACTTCTTCTTAATAGGGTACACCCAACATCTCCTAGAGTAGTCATCAATAAATGAGACAAAGTATTTTTCTCCGCCTAGGGATGTAACTGGTGCTTGCCATACGTCAAAGTGAACCAATTCTAAAACACGTTTGCCTCTAGAATTTGACGTATTGAATTTCAACCGGTGCTGCTTACTTGTTATGCAATGTTCACACAAAAGAAGTGATATATTTGTTAAGCCTTGAAGTATCTTTTTCTCTACAAGGACTTTCATTCCTTGTTCTGACATGTGTCCAAGTTTCTGATGCCATAACATTGCAGAATCTGAACTACATGAGGCAACAGAGGCTTCAGCTTCTAGCAAAGTCTCTCCCTTTAGCATGTACAAGTTTGCTGCTATCTTTTCGCTTTTCAGCACCACAAGCACTTCATGGAACACCTTCATGATTCATTTCCATGTTTCAATCTTGTTTGCATTATTATCCAACAATCCGTAGGATAATAAATTTTTCTTCAGACCTTTAACGTGCCGCACATCTCGAACAATTTTAATTGTTCCATCATACATCTTCAATTTGATGGTTCTCACGCCAACGATCTCTAAGGCATGATCATTGTAACTATACACAGATCCTCATGAGATAGATTCATAATGATGGAACCATTCTCTTCTAGAGGTCATGTGATATGTTGCTCCCAAATCAATGAGTCATATATCTGCATATCTCTTTCTACCTTCCATGGTGGTTGATGCTTCACAACATAGAGCATCTCCATCATCTGAAGTGTTTGCGGTATTACCTTATGGATTGGATATTTTATTTAGACTCCAACAATCCTTCTTCAAGTGACCCTTCTTTCCATAGTTATAGCACTTTAAATTCTTCTTGCTTCTCGACTTTTATCTACAATGTTTGTGACTGCTGCTTTGGCCACGTTCTGTTGATTTTCCTCTCATCGTTGTCAACGTTTCTGCTTGTTGCAGATTTACTTGTATGTCTTCCTTATTCTTGCATCGATTTTCTTCTTGTAGAACAGCTGTTGCAACGTCATCGAAGACTAGACTGGTTACATTACTGTTTGTCAAGTTGATGATGAGCTGATCATACGAATCAGGTAGACTTTGAAGTAGAAGTTCAGCACGTTCTTGTTCTCCTATTGTACATCTTAAGGATGTAAGCTGAGAAAATAAAGTGTTCAGTGTGTTTAAGTGCTCTGTCACTTAAGTAGATTCTGGCATACAGAGAGTGTACAATTTCCTCTTAAATAAAATTTTATTGTGCAATGATGTGGCCTCGTACAATTTGGTGAGATGATCCCATATCTCCTTAGCTGTTTTCTTCTCCTCGATGGTTGACAATACTTCATCTGCTAATGCTAGATGAAAGTTTGCCATAACATTCCCGTCCATCTCGATCCATTTGTTGTAATCTGTGAAATCTACCGGCCTTTCACTAATAGCTGCTAGACAACCGTCTTTCCTCAGGATAACCTTCATCTTCAATTTCCACAATGAGAAATTTCTCCCATTGAATTTTTCAATATCAAATTTCGTTGCCATAGCTTCTATTACGGATAGCTCTCACTATTTCAGTATCGTGAATAGTTCTCTGGAACCTTCAAAGAATGGGTAATACCTTTTTACTTTCTTATATTGGAGGATCCACCTTTTGGTGGCAACCACAAAGACAATAAGCAGATATTACACACTCAAATCTGGCTCGGATACCAATTGTTGCGGAAGACGGCTATCAGATATAGCAAAATTGTAACTGATAATTTGAGAAAATAAAAATGAAGATAAAAGAGACACAAAATTTACATGGAAAATCCCTAAATAATATAGGGTAAAAACCACGGGCAACGGTAGAAAAATTTCACTATGAGAAAATAGGAATTACAACTTCTCTCGATCTACCAAGGAGAAAACAATGATAATTCTCTCTTGATAAAAAGGAGAAAACAACTCTCAAGAAACTCTCTAAGTTCTCTAGTAGTGGGAGAAAGCTAGAATGATTTGGGATGGTTTTGAAGCTAAATGAACTAGAGTATTTATAGTTGAAGCTTAAGGACTAATTTGTAAATACCTTAAATTACAATGACTAAAATTTAAGATTTTACCATTTTTTTCAACAAAATCTACACCGCCCTCTTTTTTTAATTCATTTCCTTATTTTGTTTTCTCATGCACTATCTGTGCACGTGCCTCAATTTTCAACAAGAATGACATGCTCATAACAATAAAGTTGTATATTAAAATTTAGATTAATTATTTATGACTCATTTGTGTGTTGTTTATTTATAAATTATAAATTCAATTATTAAATGTTCACATCACTAATATTTATAATATTTGAATTCTCGATCATAAGAAATAATAAATTCTTTACTACTAGATTAACTTGATTCGTGTATACTCATTATATAATATTAACTGTTTTTATTTTTGTAAAAAAAAACTATAAAAGAGGGAAATAAATTTGATTATTTGACCTTTTTGAATAATTAATTATCCCAAAAGATTGCTGAACTAATTACCGGAGAAATCTAAAATTTGATGTTTTAAATTATTTTGTATTTCAAAAAGCAATCATATATAATAAATTTCAGTAATACCCTTTGCCCTTCCCTTGCTAAATATATTGCTCCTTTGTCAGTTTGTCACACTCTTTTATATTAATATAATAATCCCACTTAGTTCTCTACCTTTGATCTTCCTTTCACTGTCCTTCCAAGGTACGCTACAGTCTACACTGCCCCCCTTCTTTTTTCTCTGTAAATAATTTCATTTTTTAAAGTTTCATGAAAGAACGTATGATCCTCGTTGCGTGGTTTATTTATTTGCTTTCGTTGTTTAATTTTTCCAGATCCAAACTAGCAATCGGAACTGGACACTAGATTATAAAAATCAATTGATAAAGTGATTTATTTTATTGTTTCTTTGCAGCGAAACCGAAAAATGGGGCAGATTCAATACTCAGAGAAGTACTTCGATGATACTTATGAGTACAGGTCGAACTTAATTTCATCTTGATTTTTGCTATGTTTAATCTTTCCTTCATTCTGTTTGAAGTTCCTGAATGTTGAGTTTTGTTTTGTTTTTTCCCCTTTTGTGGTGGTTTCTGTACAGGCATGTCGTTCTTCCTCCTGAAGTGGCCAAACTTCTTCCCAAGAATCGCCTCCTCTCTGAAGTATGTTTGTTTTGTTAGTTCTTTGCGCGTCTTTTTAAAGCATTCTTGTTTATCTTATTAAATTGGTTTTAATGGCTTCTTAATTTAAGAATTAATTTCTTGTCAGAAATAGTTTGCTTAGTTCGTCGTTCATTTATGAAATAGATTATTAATAACGATAATTTATGAGTTTTGAGTAGTGCTGTAAATGAGACCAGACAGATCGCTAGGGCGGTAAATGAGACGAGACAGATCGCGAGCTACTCGAGATTGACTCGGTCAAGGCTCGGTAAATACTCGGATCGAATGGACTCGACTTGAACTCGAGCTCGACTCGAATTCTTAACGAGCTGAAATGAGCTACTTGATACTCGACTCGAAAAGATCGTGAGCAGCTCGAAATAATATTAACATTTATGTGTTGATTCGTTTTTAAAAATACAATAAGACTTTCATGTATTTAAGGTTCAGGTTCGAGTTTGAGTTTGAGGATTCAATCCTGTTAAGTTTAAGAATTTTTTTTTATTTCGAGCTTTTTCGAGCTGCTTACGAGTTTCAGTTCAGGATTTCGAGTTCGAGTCGAGCTTAAAAATTTTAAGCTCGCGAGTTTTCGAGTCGAGTAGAGCTCGACTCGGCTCGTTTACACCCCTAGTTTTGAGTTTGTATGTGCATGATTTATGCCAATGTGAATAACTGCCTCGCAATGGAGCAACTCATCGCATTCACTAAGTTTTTTGTACCTATTTTCCATCTTATCTAAGTACTTGTTTCATGAACGTAAACTGTTGCCCTGAAGGCAGGGGCAAAGCCAGAAAACATTTTACTAGGGATCGATATTGAATTGTAAATTTTCTGGGGCAAAGCCAGTAAATCTTAACTTGTTTGTGACCATACTTGTTGAAATGCATAACTTCAGAGTTCTCGTCTTTCCAATTCTTGTTCTATTGGATATAGTATACTTCTGCCACTAGGTTTTTGAAGTATGAATTGGATGCTTGAACTACAAAGGCACACAAATTTGTGTTGTACTGGAGCATGAGTAGTTGACTTGTCCTGTCCATTGGCATGACTTTATATTTCTTGAATATATGAATCTTGTCTTATAGGACCAGATAGGTTTGTATCAATTGCCTTAGTTTTGAAGTATGATTCAATGAATAAACTAAGATTTTCAAGACATTATATATATGTATCTTGTTCACATGGGTCCATATTTCCTTTGTTTTGGGTCTAAAAGTATTGATGCTGTTTTGTCATCTGTTATAGTTGTTTTGGTTTTTCTAGGTTTGCATTAATTCTGATTTTGGTTCATTTTGCTCTGCCATTTTCATTTTGTAGAACGAATGGCGAGCTATTGGTGTACAGCAGAGTCGAGGTTGGGTCCATTATGCAATTCATCGCCCTGAACCACACATCATGCTCTTCAGGAGGCCTCTCAATTATCAGCAGCAACAGGAGAATCAGTCCCAGCAGAGCATTCTTGCTAAGTAATTATATAAGCATTTAGTATTCAAAAAATGGGTGAAAACCAAAAGTACTTTGTCAGTGTGTTTATTCCCTTCCTAAACAGTTTGAACAGTGAAGTGTTGTGGAATCACTGGATTGTTTTGTATTCTACTTTGGAGAATTCCAGGTCAGGCTTGGGTCTTGCTTTCTTTATCGACCTCCTAATGTCATTGGTACTCTGCTTCTTACTTTCTTGGCACGGATGAGTTTTATTTTCCTTGAATAAGGAATACTTTCTTAAAATATATTTTATAATTGTTTTACATTTCATATTTGAAGTTGGTAGTTGCTCTTCCAAATGATTTTGTTTTACAGCAGAATGAAGAACCCCAGTTTTTATCTATGATTCATCAACCTTGTGGTGAAGCTTGAAAGCTACAGCTGAGTCGGTTCTGATGTCCCATGATCCCATCTGTCCATGTTTCTTGCTCTTGGGCTTACATTGTCTGGTTAGTTGGTTGGATGAGGCTTATAAGTTTTGCTTGGTTCAACATAATTAAATTCTTCCAATAAGTTTTATATAAATATTTAATTTTTATGACTAGTACACTTTATTAACTTTTATTTATATATTTTATATTTTCCTATTCATTCTCCAAATAAGCTGGTTTTATTTAATCATAATAACAAGTTTAGATATTATTTGATAAAATGAAAAATTAAGTATTAAAAAAATCAAGTGTTGAATTTAAACTATACATTTATTTGATATTTGATAAAAATGTAAATATCTAATAGAATTATAATCTGTTAAACATAATTTTTTTAAAAAACACATAAAAAAAGAAATAAATAATAAAATAATAAATGTTGAAAGTATTTTATATTCGGGTAAAGTACATAAATGGTCTCCGATAATTGGTTATTATTTTATTGAGTCCATTGACTATTAAAATTTACAAAATGATCTATTGATTATAAGAATGTTTTTTTTAGTCAAATGACAATTAAAAGTTACAAAATGTTCACTCGACTGTTTAAAAGTTACAAAAGTTACAATATTATATTTTAATGATGTCTACTGGCATCGTCGTTGTTTTCAAGCACTGGCTTGACGACGTAATGTAAATGGAGATTCGATCCACAAAATACAACTAAAACGATTCTAAGAACATATTTTATAATAAACTGGTTAACAGATTAACGTTCATCTCAAATAACCGCCAATTTTTTAAAAGAAAAAGACGAGTTTAGAACATAGGAATAGTCGGGTAACCATTTTATAACTTTTAAGAATTACTCAATAAAGCAACTTCCTACAATCGGGGAATTATTTTATACATTTTAATAGTGAGATGACTCAACAAAGCAACATCTTATAGTCGAGGATCATTTGTGTACTTTACTTTTTAGAGAAAATAACCTCAGTGACCGAAAATGCCTTATAATATACAATTTTGACCAACTTTTTTTCGATTTGCCAAAATGACCAACAAAATCGCAATGCGATCTCTAAATTGCAACACGATCTCCAGTATCGCAAATCAGTTTCCAGATTCGCAACGCGATTTTGACTATCGCAACGCGAAAATACAAAATCGCAATGCAATTTTTCAAATTTACGTTAGTCAAAATTCGTTGCGATAGTCCAAGTCCGCGTTGCAATTTTCCAAATCGAAACGACTGGTGGTATTGCATTTGTTTATTAAGGATTTTCTCTAAAAAGATAGTATCCGCGCGGACGTGTCGAAGACACGTATTACCACGACCACGACCACGACCACGACCACGACCACGACCACGACCACGACACGACACGACACGACACGACACGACACGACACGACACGACACGACACGACCCGACCCGACCCGACCCGACCCGACCCGACCCGACCCGACCCGACCCGACCCGACCCGACCCGAGACGGGACGGCGGCGGCGGCGGTGCGCGAGAGTCCCCCTTGTTCTCTTCCACTCAACAAGAAAGTGGGAAATCCAAGCCTTAAATATCCATTCCCAATAGTGTTTCCAATACTATGTGGGATTGAGCATTGCAAACACTTGAGAATCTTTTACACTATCGCAACACATTCTTTATTGTTTCAAACTAAGATCTTACAAATGGCTTGGGAATCTTTTACACTATCGCAAACATTCTTTATTGTCAAACTCCACGTGAATTTGGAATAGTTAAAATGTAAACTTATTTTGGATTTTTCACTATCGCAACACTTTTTCACTATCGCAACAACACGTTTTTCAAACTCTCGCAACACATTTTAACTATCGCAACAACACATTTTAACTATCGTAACAACACATTTTTCAAACTCTCGCAACACATTTTAACTATCGCAACACATTTTAACTATCGCAACATATTTTTCAAAATCGCGTTGCGAATCTGGATATTCGCATTGCGAATTTGAAAACTGAGTTGAAAAATTAGAGTTCGCGTTGCGATTTTGTTGGTCATCTTGGCAAATCGAAAAAAATTGGTTAAAATCGTATATTATAAGGCATTTTCGGTCACTGAGGTTATTTTCTCTACTTTTTATATTAATTTATAAATAGATCTTTATCTATTTAATAACGACATGAACATTTTTTCCCTCTTACTTACTAGGTTTAGTGAAAATTTTTAATAAGATTATACAAATGTTTTTATCTGTGTATGATTTTCTTATATCAATCATACTATTACCTTTCAAAAAATAATAAGAGTCAAGTGAAAATCTAAATTAAATTTTAAGTGGAGATAATACATTTCGTAGATTAAATTAAATGGATTGAAAATCTGATCTAACTTAATCTATTCTATGACCACCTCTAATCGAGACAATAATGGGCTGAGTCGACTACTGTGTGATGCCGCCGTGCCGATGGATTTAGGAGTAATCAGTAATGAACGCAAACAATCGCGCGAAGGCCTTTTCTAAACATTTTCACTAAAATACACTACAATCAAAGACAAAAAAATCAAGCTTTGCTATAGGCTCAAATTTTCACAAAACATGCAACTACGTTTTTTTATTTCATCTAGTCTCTGACAAACGTTAATAATAAATCTTAACACTATAATTAAAAATATCATTTATTCATGATTATTCTAAATATATTGTATTATAAAATTTAGGAGCGGTTATATATAGTATTGATTGAACAAATATTCTAACAAGAGATTCATGAGATAAAATCTGTTCTTCATGGGACAGTGAGATAAATATAATTTTCAATTTGATTTCCTAAAAAATAAATATATCATATTATTTAACAATGAGAATTATTTAACTTTGAATGCAATTTGATTCATGCATATTGATGATACATCAAAAAAAAACGTAATGGAACATATCAATTAGATTGATTATACGATCGGGCCATGTTTATTGTTCGAAATATTGATGATACATATCCACAACAAAGACTAATTTACTGGGTTAAAGAGTCAACCCACACCTTTCCACGTAATGGAACTCGCGCGCCAGAGAAATAAAAATACAGTCGGAACTTTCGTTTTCCTTCCTCGCGGAATATCAAATTAAATCGCTCATTTCTTTATCTAATGCATTATGTAGGCCGAAGTCTCCGGGGCCCACGCTAACGCGCGAGTTTCATCTCCTTTTCCTCTTAAAGGGTAAAAACCGCGCAACAACTTTGGGCAGTCGCTTTTCTCTCCTTTAAAATAAACCCCCCCACGCTTCTCGGTCCTGCTTAGCATCTGAATCCAATTCAAACCAAGCCAACGCCGATTCCGTTGAGCTATGTCGACGCAGTCGGGGCAAGGAAATCTAAACAAATTGACACAGCAGCTGAACTTATCTAGTGCAGATCAGCAGTTGAGCTCTCAATCTCCAGCGCCTTACGTTGTAAATATGGACGCCAGTTCTGTGGCATCCGAGGAATGTTCCACTGAAAATTGGGGATTTAATTTGTCTACCGATTATATCCGCCAGTTGACTCTTTCCAAACTTTTTGACGACGACGACGCCGAGTTGATCCGGCTAGAATTTGGATCTATGGCGCAAACTAGAGGTATGAATCCGAATTGGGAATCATCTTCAACACCCACGCCGGCGCTGGAAGATGGAGAAGGTATTCCTAATGCTAACGTATTTCCACAGCGCTTCAATTCTCATCACAACTCTGAAGGAGACGTTGATGATGGTGCTCAGAGTTTCGAACCCGACCAGGATCTCACTGAAGAAGCTTCAAGGGTAACACCAATGGAAAATGTAGGAGCCATCTGGACAAAGCAGGGACACCATCTCAAGCTTGCATTGGAAAGAAGCGAAAGGCTAGCCAACGGATCATCCTCGGAAAAGAGCAAGAACTTGAAAGAATGCAGAAAAAAAGAGATGCGGATAAGAAGTATCGAGCGGACATTAGGGTAAATGAAATCTCTCTATTAAATATCTCCAATTTCCATACACAAGTACTAAACTTTTGTTTTCTTTTACTATTTACAAATGAAGAGGGAGTTAAACGAGCTTAGGAGGATGAAGCCTGAGTACGATAGAGTAATGGAAGTTGTTTCCAGATTTGAGGGGATTGATGAAATGGAGTGACAGATTAATCACATGAACTCTGAGTTACGTAGAATACAACAGAAAGAGGTGGATTATGATATATCTCGGCGTTTATTTGAAACCGAGATGAATCGATTAGAGCAAATGAAGTCAAAGTATGGGGGAATTGATGAAATGGAGTGTATGTTGGATAGATTCATGCGCATGGAAGCTGAGTCCCATAAACTAAATCAAATAAGATCAAAGTTGGGAATTGAGGAAACAGAATCCATAGTGCAAAAATTCAAGGAAATGGAGGAGGAGTTACGTAGATTCGACCAAATAAAGTCATTATTTGGCGGAATAGATGAAATTGAGGCCGGAGTCAATAGGCTAAAGAAAATGGAGTTAGAGTTGGAAAGGCATAAGCACATGGTGAACAAAAACCAACTTGAACCCTTTCATACATATACTGATGGTCCACAGGTATGTTTCTCTTCACTTGCATATATCCATCTCACACACATTCAATCTGTGTCATTATTCTACCACACATGTTTTAGAGGGAAAGCATGGTTCTTCTTTGACGCGTACTAGGGCTTAAACTTGTCTTCCGTTTTCATATTGGAAAACAAGTACGGCTTCTGAATTAATTTTGCATGCACTCCTATTTCGGTTGTCTGGATGTTTACTTCTTATATAAAACCTCCGAAATGCCATCTTACTGCTGCTACACTGCCAACAAACGCCTCCATATAACCTAAAAAAACCAAGTCATATACGATCAAAAAACGGGTTTCGTCAAAGGGAAACTAGAATATATATATATATATATATAGGAGAAGTGGGGCTGGGGACCATAATTTATTTATAGGCTAAATATATGTTGTATTGTTGTTTTTTATTACTATTATTGTTTTATTAGTTTTGTACTTAAAATTAAAAAAATGATTTATTATATGGTAAGAAAAAATTTTAAAATTCACACCTCATTCGTCTAAAAGTTTCTTATTTAGCAGCTTAAAAATATATGAGAAAGATCAAAATATTTGGAGCAACCAAAAACACATCCTGCGGTCAAATTTCAAAGTCGTCGTTCAATTTGTAATCACGTTCTCTATTCAATATGTATATTGTACTCGGATATTTTATGATCTAACATCATCTCCAACAAACATAAAATTCTCAACTGATAAAAATAAATAAATAAATAAACAAAAAACAAATACTAAATTTAGCATCTACTTATCACTCTCCTAGAAAAGCACTACAGATTGTTTTACTTTTACTTTTTATCACTTTTTTTTTGGATAATTACTTTTTATCACATTTTCAAGACAAAACCATGTAAACGTGTCAAATCACTTTGAATTCCCAAATTTTATACATCTTACTTCTTAGTTGAACTGTTCGCACGTAACAATATTAAATCGGAAGAATGGTCTTCTGCAAAAAGAATAAGTTTGATTAAAATACAAGTTAGATTTATCATTCAAGATGTAACAATGTTGAATTATTGAGGGTCCTAGGTAGTTAATAGGAAGTGTTCCCTCTTTAGATTTTGAGTTCAAATAATTGAGTCTATAGAGTGTCTAAGTATTATCAATAATTAAAAAAATTATAAATAAATAATACTTTGTAATCACCTTATATTATCAAAATCCTATGTAATAATATTGTGGTACACTTCCTATATTTATTATATTATTTTTGTTTTCTTTTAAACCATACAACTCTCTTGACTTGGCCTCCCATAAAATTTTGGTTGCATTTATCCGTTAATAGTTTGGAAAACGCAATATACAGGAAAGGCTCAGATCGCAGTTATTGGACTTGAATGGCGACTCTGACAATGTAAGGTTCATGCGTTACACCTCGTGGTTTTTCTTTTTTCTTTCTCTTGGATTCAACTAATTTGTTTTCTTTTCTGTCTTCCCCAACTTATATTAATGCTTCAGGTGTCATATCAGTGTGGGCTTAATCTAATTTCATTTGCCACTGAAAGCGGGGCCACACCTGACATGCAGTACCTGATATTCCTTTATATCAATTAGTCTATGACGTTTTTTCTTAAAAATCATCGGTAATTGATATATTTATCGATCTAACATCGATCAGATTATATTTCTCGATTTAACACTCGTAGCAGTAAAGTACGTCTATTGACTCGCGCTATACGCTGATTTGACACTACGTGGAGTATAGTGCGTCCCTGCTCCGCGTTATACATATTTATCCGACACATGGGGTCTAGCGCGATGCAGGGGTCGCGCTATAACTTTAATTACACGGTCGTTCACACCTCACACTTCTCTATAAATACCTCATTCTCAATCACTTTCATCACACCAAATTCTCTCAAATACTCTCTCGTTTAAGGTATATTTTATAATATTTTTAATATTATGTATTTAATTTATTTAAGTATTTTATTTTATTTAATATTTTACTAATATAAGTTTTTTTTGCAGATATATAATGGAAGGCGGTCTACTACGCTTAGATGGAAATCATATATCTCGACACTTTGCTGATACAGTAACATTTTAACGTTTTAATTTAATTTAATTTAATTTATTAGTAATAATTTGTTGATTTATTTAATGCATGATTATTAGATTAAGAATTAATTTTTGTAATTATTTATTTTTAGGAGAATGACCGTATATTAGATCATTTTATTAGTAATCTTAAGTTAGTGATACTTAGTCGTGTCTTACCGTATTTAGTAGAGGCTGGATTTGGTTACATAGGTAGATATCAGGGTCACTGTAAGATAGAACCAGACCTTATTTCTGCTATAGTAGATCGGTGGAGGCCGGAGACCCACACATTCCATCTTCCTTATGGAGAGTGCACGATCACGCTTGAGGATGTTTCTATGCACCTGGGGCTTCCGGTGGATGGAGATGTGATATCAGGGATAGCTTTCGGTTCTTGGACTACTTTGTGCCAGGAATATCTAGGACGTGTCCAGGAAAATTTTATCGGAGGTAGGATACCGTTAAATTGGTTAGATGCCAATTTTCGGGAGTTGAGCTCAGACGCCTCTGAGGATGAGGTTAAGATGTATGCACGGGCATTCATATTGCAGTTGATAGGAGGGTTGATGATGCCGGACAAATCGCGCAACCTAGTTCACTGCATGTGGTTGCGACATCTTAGCGACTTTCGTCTCGCCGAATCATTTAGTTTTCGCTCGGCAGTTTTGGCTTTGCTACAGGGAGATGTGTGGAGCCATTGACTATAGGCGTAATGCTATCGGCGGATGTCTCCTACTGCTGCAGTCTTGGGCATGGTATCGATTGCCTTTTTTGTGTCCCGTTCTGAAGAACTCATTCGTATTTCCACTACTTTTGAGGTAATTATAAAACTGATTTTGTATATTAATAATTTTATACAGCGTATAATAAATTTTTTTCCTTGAATAGGTGGTCTACTGATAGGAAAAATCATCAGGAGCTACCTGATGATTTAGAAAAAATTAGGGTGCTAATTGATTAGAAGGCTGGCACACAGGTATGAATTTTAATATTTAAAAATCGATTTTAGATTTTAGTTATATAATTAGATTATTATTTTGATAAAAAAATTATATATTATTTGTTTTAGTTTGAATGGGTGACATATTCTACTGATGATGTGAGGGCGGTGATCCCACCTGAGTTGAGGGGTCCATCAGATGTTTGGATGGCGACGGTCCCTCTGATCTGTTATGCGATCGTCGAGTGGCACTCCACTGATCGCGTGCTCCGATAGTTTGGTTGTTTTCAACCAATTCTGGATGCACCGTGCAATATGGACGAGTTGCATAGCACAGATAGATGCGGCAAGACAAATACAGATTGGTTGGTGAGGCATCATGCGTGGGTCGTGTTGTGGGAGGATCGACATCGGCGTCTTCCCCGTAGAGAGCCCATTTTTTATGACCTCTTGATGGTTGCTGAGGGTTATTACGAGTGGTTCAACAGTAACGGGAAACTGTTTCTGCTTCCCGAGGATGCACGAGGGCAGACCTTTCCGCGACGTCGACAGAGACGTGATCCGACACAGCACCATCGTCCCCTAACTCGTGGACGGAGAGCAGGTGCTTCCGGTTCATCTTCAGCTACACCAGCAGGACCTTCACAGCAGCCATCGCAGCCATATATAATGACGTCATCGCCTTTCCATTACTAGATGTCGCCGCCGCCTTCACCTGGTTTTATGACCCCGTCGCCGCCACCGTCACAGATGATCCCTCCTGGAGGCTATTATAGGTCTATGTTTGTAGATCAGATTTGGGGGGTTCAACCTCATTACCCATGGCCGTAGTACATACACCTCCTGTACAGTTTTCACACTCAGCGATGTCTGGGTTTTATGAGTTTTCCCAGTTTTCGCAGGCAGGTGGGATAGTCAGTCATACACCTCCAGAGTCCTTATTCTATGGAGGTGTTTCATCGTCATCAGCTCCTCATCAACCTAATGTACCTGCTCAGGACGACGACGACGACGATGATGGTGATGATGATGACAGCGAGGAGTCAAAACAAGTGATACGAATAAATCCTCCTCGAGACCGACAGTCACTGCCTTGTGGAACACATTCGCGTCGCAGGCATCGATAGATTTTGTTTTTTATTATATTTGTATTTACTTTATTTTTTTAAATTGTAATTTTTTATTATTTAATTTAATACTTAATTTATTTTGTTAAATTTGTTGGACTTTTTTTAATATATTTCAGTTTATTTTGTTTATTACAATTTAATATCGGTTATTGTAATTTGGTTATCATTTACCATTTAATACTTATTGTAAGTTTGTTGTATTTAAAATTATATTCAAATATCAAATTGTTATTAGTTTAATAAATTTAATTATTGTGTTCATTTTTTTAATCTTCATCATCGATTATCGAATGACATTAACTTGAAGTAAATGCAAATTAAAGTACAAGAATTATTATTTGATAAACAAATACATCATTTCCTCATCAATTGTTACTTAATGACAACAGAAGTGGATATGTTTTTCTAGTGTGTCTTGGGTTTTTACAATTCCCACATCTTCTGTCTTGTCTAGATCTTTCTCGAATATCCATATCGCAATGAATTCGATTGGATTTTGGACGACCACACTCCCTCAATAAACTCGGATTTGGTGCAATAGGAAGCCAATCTTGAACCTCATCAGGGTCTTTGTCATTACCTATAGGTGGAAACTCAAATTCGTATACCTTAAAAACTTCAGATAGTAGGTATATGGGATCCACAAAATGGTTATAGTCTTGACGTCTATGCGAGCAAGTTGCTATCACATGAGAGCATGGATACTTCAGAGCTTGAAAAACCCACAGTAGCACGTTCTGTCCCTTAGATTTACTCTTAACGACACAGCTTGAATCCCTTGAAGAGGTCGCGGTAACTCTGTGACACGAAACATTTCATGCCTTCTAGAGAAGCTTGTTACAGACATTCCATTTGATGCAACAATTTTTTTCTGTAGATCTGCAACTAATCTAGGGTGATAGACATGACCGTCTTGCATCCAGGTTTGAGCTTGTCCCTCGAGCTTTGCAAAAAAGCGCCCCCAAACAAAAATATGTAGTTTTTACCAAAGCCGCTACAGGTAAGTGACGTGCACCCTTTAAGGTTGAATTGATTGCCTCAGCCAAGTTGGTCGTCATGTGTTCATATCGATATCCACCATTATATGCGTTCATCCACATTTCTTTATCGATGACATTCTTCTACTACTTCCAACATGAATATTCCTCGAAATCTTCGTTATCAGCTCCTCAAGAGTTATGTTTCTCTTGAATGATATTTTAACATGCTCATTTGATACGAAAACAATGCCGGTTTCATCTTCTCGAATTTCACCATCATAATAAACAATAGCTGAAAGTCGCGTCATTCTTTGAGTTTAAAAGTGCGGCAATATTATATCTGCAAAAAAAATAACAAAAACAAATCTGATTAAATAAATTATATATGAACGAAAATATAACACAATAAATTTTTACACATCAACGTAAATAATTTAAATAATATAATTTTATATTATTACCTTCACCGTAAAACTATTTCGACGTATACTCTCGCTTTTCAATTTTACAAACATAAAAATTAATTGAAAATAATTAGTATAATATTTTTTCAAATAATCATAATAAATAATAAGTATAATAAAAAAATTTATAACAAAATTACCTTATAACGAAAAATCGCACGAACTTCTAAACTAAATATGAGAAGATTGTCAAAATTATTGAGTCGTTGACAGAATTATTGTATTAATTTATAAGTTGAGAGGAGAGATATGAGGAATATAACCGGGGGAGGAGGGTATATATAGCCATACAAGGCGCGATACCTGGACCGCGGTATATGTAATTATGGTATAGCACGGATCAAGGTCCGCGCTCAATATAATTGTGTAGATATAGCGCGGAGCAGGGGGCGCGCTATAGCCACGTGTAACCCAGTCAGCGTATAGCGCGGTACAGGGGGAGCGCTTTACTGCTATGGGTGTTAGATCGGGAAATATAATCTGACCGTGTTAGATCGATAAATATATCAATTACCGGTGATATTTCAGAAAAAACGCCTCTATCTCTACCTCTCATTTCTACTATGAAGAATTTTTATCTTTTTTTATGGTGAAGCAGTAATTTATCTGTAGTATTATCTTTACATTACCATCAATTCTACTTTATTCATAATATTTAACTATTAGTATATTTATTTATCTAATTTCAATATATTTTTATTTATCTTACAATTTAATCTACTTGAATATAAAATATTATGTTTAATTTTTATTTTATTAGATAAAAATTACAATAAAAAACATAAAATATATAATAAGAGAAAATAATATAACAAAAAAAAAGTAAAAAGAAAACCAAATATAATAAATAACAAAATATTAATAATAATAGTTCAACTACAGTATAATTTTATATATAGAACATCACTGTTATTTTTTTATATGAGAAAAAAGCGTCAGTGACCGAAAATGACTTATAATATACGATTTTAATCAACTTTTTTGTGATTTGCGAAAATGACCAACAAAATCGCAACGCGATATCAAAATCGCAACGCGATTTAGAAAATCGCAACGTTGAAAAGAAAATCGCAACGGTCAAAAGAAAATCGCAACGCGATATTCCAAGAATCGCAATGCGATTAAGAGAATCGCAACGCGATCTTCCAAGAATCGCAATGCGATTCAAAAAATCGCAACGCGATTCCAAGAATCGCAACGCGATTAAGAAAATCGCAATGCGATTCAGAAAATGAGTAAATTCTTTCAAAAGCTGTTGC